ACCCGGAGACCGCAGGGTCGTGGGCAAGGCACTTAGCCTTTCCGAGCCTCGGTTTCCGCCTCTGTAGAATGGGTCTGGGTCTGAGAGCCCGTCCGGCAGAGGGCTGTGGCGGGAGTCAGCAATCCACGTCCCTCCGCCCCGAATCTGGCGCCGCAGGTGGTCCTGCCCGGGCGCCGCGCGGATCGCTCGACACCTCGCTCAGATCTGTGTCCCCCTCCAGAAAGGCAGGACTCCGCCCCCTTCCGGCGACTACTGGGAGATTCGTGTCCCCGAGCCGAGGAAGCGCGCGGGGCGGGGCTACCTGGCTTCCCGCCCCGGCCCCACCCCCGGCGTGAATTGGGGACACCCTAGAGTCGATGTCAGCGCCTCTGGGGCCGCCATAAGCAGAGTTTGCATGTCTGAGCCCCAGGGCCTCTCTCCCTTACTCCCGTTGTTCAGGGAAGTAAACTGGGCCTGGAGAGGTTGTGTGGCTTGCCTAGCCCTCTCTGCAAACTAGGGACGGAGACGTTATTTAGGTGGGTCACTGCCACAGCCTCCACCCCCACCCCTCCACGGCCCCAGCAGCCCGAGAACCAGGCTCCCTGTGCCTGTTCAGTTTCCCAGGTGGCAAGTGTGACCCCGCTGACCGCGACGTGGTGCACACGGCCCTGAGGGAGACCCGCGAGGAGGTGGGCCTGGTTGTGCCTGAGGAGCATGTGTGGGGTGTCCTGAGGCCCGTGCACGACCAGGTAAGCCCGCCAGGCCCTGAAACCACCACTGGCCCTTGCCCCATTCAGCCCCTCTGCTTGCCCTGGGCTAGGAGCAGAGACCCCAGGGACAAGGAGGGTGGTCATGGACTGTGGCAGTCACGGAGTACGGTGGGGCCACCTGCCTGGCAGTTGTGTTCCATCCTCACACAGCCCATCAGGAAGGGGCCAGGGGTATTTTATCCCCTTTCACGAGGGATACTGAGGCTCAGGTCCTGGGGTGGAGGTGGCTCCAGGATGAATCAGCTCTGCTCTGCTCGGTGGACAAAGGTTGGGGAGGGCTTTGCAGGGTAGGCAGGGACTGAATGACCGCTGGGAGATTTTAGGGTAGTGAAGGTAAGGAAAAGCGAAGGCCCGGAGGCCTGAATGGGTCCAGTGTGTTTGGGGGGCCTGAGTCAGTCAGCGTGGCTGGAGCAAGTCCAAGGGCAGGGGCCGGGTGGACCTGCCCTGCACTGCTAAAAGCCCCTGGAGTCTTCCTCTCAGCCTCCCTGCCCCAGCCCCAAAGCCCCATTGAGGGCGTGCCTCCCCTGACTGCCTGCCCTCCTCCTGCCTCAGCAAAAGGCCACTGTGGTGCCGGTGCTGGCCGGCGTGGGCCCACTGGATCCCCAGAGCCTCAGGCCCAACCCCGATGAGGTGAGTGGGGAGATGCTAGGGGTGGAGTCTGGGTCGTCCGGATGGGCGGAGGCTGCAGTGGCCAGTGCTCTGTCTACCCTCTCGCTGCCTCCTGCCCACAGGTGGATGAAGTGTTTGCACTGCCCCTGGCCCATCTGCTGCAGGAACAGAACCAGGGCTATACCCACTTCTGCCATGGTGGCCACTTCCGCTACACACTGCCTGTCTTCCTGCACGGGCCACACCGGATCTGGGGGCTCACGGCCGTCATCACTGAGTTCACCCTGCAGCTCCTGGCACCTGGCATCTACCAGCCCTGGCTGGCCACCCCTGAGCTGCCCAGGGGCTGATGACGTGGTCCTGAGCAGCCCCTGCCTTTGCCCTGCCACGCCAGCTCCACTCCAGGACTGAATAAAGAGCCTTTGCCAACTGCATGGCGACTGCACCTTCTGCACTGGAGCCCTGACCTTGGGCAGACCCCATGGGACAGCTGGCCTCCTGGCTAGGGTGCCTCTGGATAATCACACTGTTACTTGCTGTGCCCACTCACTGTGTGCCAGGTGCCTGGAGTCTTTTTTCTCATTTCACTCTCACCACAACCCTGTGAGATGGGGCCAACGCTGTCCCTGGCTGGTGAGACTGAGGCTCAGGGAGGGTAGACACCTTGCCCAAGGTCACCCCAGTTTGGGATTTGAACCAGGCCCTCTCTGACTCCAGAGACCAAACTCCTAGCCACTACACTGTACGAGCTCCTGTTCCATCTTCCGTGCCTGGCTGACCATGTGCTGGGCAGTAGGCATCCAGAAAGGAGCCCTGCATGCTACTGCAAACCTCTAACATGCCAAGCTCCCACCATGTGCCAGGTGCTATGCTGGGGTCCCATCTGTGCACCAGCCAGATGCTACTCTGCCCTCGGCGGGTGCTCAGTCTGTGGGAGATCTTAGACCAGGTCACACAGATAATCATGTGATTGTACATTAATTACTCACAGATATGTAATGGAATTATGTATCAATCATGTAAATCTCTGTGAGAGAGTTGAAGGGGTGGGCAGTCGAACCTTGACACGGTGGACTGGGCAGTATTAGGCAGGACAAGTGATAGAAAACCCCACCCACTAGCTGACTTTGCCAAAGGAAGAATGGTGATTACAAACTCCAGAGATAGACCAGCTTCAGGCATAGCTGGATCCAGGAGCTCAGGGACTCTCTTCTTTCCACTGTATTGGCCTCACTCTCAGGAGCATTCTCTACTCCACAGGGGTGAGAGGTGAGGAGAGGGCAACAGCTCTAGGATGGCACGGTACCAGCATCCCATCAACAGAAAACACCTTCTCTTTCTGGGCCAGTCTGTCCCAGAATTGTACTTTATTGGCCTGCTTCGGGTCACATGCCCTTCCCTGAACCTGTCACGTGGCTGCTGGATTTAGAATTCATTGATTGGCAGGGTCTGGGGCACAGGCCTGGGGAGCAGGGTGAACCTCCTAGAGTGAGAGTAGTGAAGGTGTGGCCCCCAAAGGACCCCTGGGAAAAGACAGGGAAGGTTGAGCAGGTAAAGGCAGCCACATTCCCCTGCAGAGAGTGACCTTGAGACCATAGGTAAGCAGGAGCAGGCCAGGCCAAAGGGCAAGGGCAAGGAGCAGCATGTGCACACAGCTTGGGGTGTTCTAGGAAACCAAGAGGGGCCGTGGGGACGTGGGGGGAGGGGCCCAGCACTCGGGGCCCCAGTGAGCGGCCAAGGGGACAAGCCTCAGTGATGGGTTAGGATTTTATTCCAGGCTGGCAGAGGGGGAGAGGGGTGCCGAAGTGATCGGATTCAGGTGTTAAGAAGCTTGAGCTCCAAGGGGACCAGGTTGCGGCAGCACCCCGACCCCATCTCTGCAGAGCCCTCCCCGCCCGCCCATCTACCCTACCCCCCCAGCCTGCCTTCCACACCCCTCCCCCTTCCCACACACCTCCCCACACGCTCTCCCCCAGCCCCTCTGTCTCACCTACCCCTTCCTCCCCACACTCCCCTCCCATTGCCCCTCATACCCCTTGTGTCACCTCTGGCCCTCCAGCCTCACCTGGGAGCAGGGCCGCGTGATGGCGGTAAAAATAACTCTCCGGCTGTGTGTGAATTGGGGAGGAGTTGGGGGAGAAGGAGGGAGGCTGGGCCCCAGCACTAGGGGAGGGGCCCTTGGGGTGGAGGCCAGGGAGCTGCTGGTCTCCTGGGCCCCAGAGAAGCGTTCTGAGTCCCACCCCTTCCCCCGTCCCCAGGGCCACACTCTGGCTCTCTGGGTCACCTCCGTCAGGCGCACACCCAGCACCGGCAGCGACCCAAACCAGGTGGAGGAGCCCTCAGAGCGGTAAGTAGCCCAGCCGGCCTACCTGCCAGCCCACGGGGTCCCCCTCCAGGCCGGAGGCCCCCGCCCTGCCGGCCTTGACCTTGCGCTCTGTCCTCAGGTCCCAGCTGCTGCCCAGGACCCCCCCGCTCCCCACCAACACCCTCAGTGATGCCTCCTCGCCCTGTCTGGTTGGCCTGATGCGGTGCCCTCATCTCCGGTCCTCAGGGGCTCCTCTGAGTGCTGCCTCCATTTCCGGCCCCCCATGGCGGGCACGGCGGACCGGGGGCGGGTGAGCGTGCAGGAACACATGGCTATTCACGTGAGCCCGGGCCCCATCCGGCCCATCCGCCTCATTTCCGACTACTTCCCGCACTTCTGCCCCTTCGCTGAGCCCACCCTGCGCGCCTGAGACCTCACCCTCCAGTGACCCCCACCATCCACTCTGCGTCCCAGTCCCAGCCGGACCCAGAGCCAGAGGGAGACTCAGACAACAGCAGTGAGTGGGCACGAGGGACAAGGGGGACCCTCTGGGCCCAGCCCAGCCAGGATGGGGTCTGGGGCGTCCCAGGTTTCCGACCTGGGGAGGGGCAGGGCAGGAGGCATGGTACCAGGGCGGAGGTTGATGTGGACGCTGACCTGCTGGCCACCTGCCCTTAGCCACCCTCGGCACCCTCGAGTTCACGCCTTTTTTTTTTTTTTTTTTC